GGGGCGCACTGGGCCGCGTGGGCCGCCGTCCGCCGCCAGCCAAAGCACAACTCCCAGGAGCCCACGCGCTGCCTCTTAAAGGCTCCGCGGCCGAGTACAGCTCGGGACGGGGATTTGGCCCTGAAAAGCAGACCGGGAGAGCTTTTGGGGATCCCGGCCTGCAGACTCCGGTGGGCTCAGGGGGCCTGTCACACAAGGCACGCCACCGTCTCCAGAGAGTTCGTCCTTCTGAAAAACTCATTTGTTTTCGGTCGTATCTTCTGGGAACCGGCGTCTCAGGTCTCTTTTCCAAGTTTCCACTTTAATGGTTCCGAAGATGGGAAAAAAATTAGGGAGAAAATGTACATGCGCCGCCCGGGAATCGAACCCGGGTCGCAAGAATGGGAATCTTGCATGATACCACTACACCAGCGGCGCTGTTGGGAAGGAGGGCCACCTACAGGCCTTAGCAACTGTGACGTTCGCAGGCCGCGGGCGGATAAGTTCATACTTTGTCACCGCCCCGGAAGTTGGACCCACACTTCAGCTGGCACCCTGGTGCCGAGGTGTCGAGGAGTCTCCCCCGCGCCGGAAGAGAAGGTGCAAGGATGAGGACGCGGATTTGAAGACAGCCTTTATTCGATCCTGTGCCGGGGAAAACAAGGGCCACCGTGGGCACTTGGGAGCCAGCAGGGGCGGTGCTCAGGTAGGAAGCTCGAGATAAGGACCTGAAAGGCGGGGCCCGGGGGTGGGCGTGGCTCTGTGACGTTTGGGGGTTGGAGAGAGGCTCGGGGGTCTAGGACAGCGATGGCTGGCGGTGTTCAGGGCTTCTTTGTGACTTTGACACAAACTGTGCCCATTTAAGGGTGGGTAGATTGGCTGTGGGAGGGGTCGCTGGTCTCTGAAGTAAACGTGCACAGCCCCAAGCGTTCTAGTCAGTTCGGGTCCACGTCTCAGAGGGGCCATATTCCAGAAAATGCTTAGGCCCTACCCCAGAGAGCAAGTCTCGCTGGCCAGGACCAGGATGGTCCCCGTCTGGGATATCAGAATGGGGCTGTGGTTGAGGGCACGACCAGGGTCAGGCATCCGTTGAGGTGGCCAGGATGTGTGGTTAGACCAGACAGGGCCAGTCATGGTCCCAGGCACGCTGATGACCAGTTAGAACAGTCCCCCAGGAAAGCATCGGAGGAGTCCAGGGCCTCAGGGGGGTCCAGGAGTGGGCCTCTGCTCTTGCAGTCCTGCCAAGTCCAGTGATGTCCAGTGTTTGCAGTGACCCTGACAGGTCCGCTGCATTGGGCTTCCCTGCCTCCCATCCTGACTGACCTGTGCTTACCTGGCTAACGTTTTGCATCACCCCCTCCTGTTTTTTTCAGCTGAACCTCTTCCGTGTGTCTGGTTCAGGAGAGGGGAGGGTGTCTCCTTCTACATGTACCCTTGGCCTTCAAGCCTCCTCCAGGGCCACCTGAATTGCCGGGGTGCCTCAACCCGCAGACTTCACTTGGGTTTTCTGGGCATGGAGGGGAAAAGACTGAGATTATCTCCTTGCCTCCTCCCTTTTGTATGGAGCTGCTTTAAGCGATGTCCACCATGCACAGCAAACAGCGTTGTTGAATAGCACGTAAGCCTCGGTTGATGTCATCTGTAGTATTCATCATCTGGAATAGATGCCAGGTGGGCCAAACATCTGCCCTGGGTACTGACTGAGGTCAGTGCCTGGCAGAGAAGCAGTGGGTATCGCTGAGCTGAGGTCACCGTGTGTAGACATCTTTCCTGGAAGCTTGTGTGTCAGATGCTACCAGCAGTCTAGGACTTTGAGGGACAACATCTCCACAAGGAGTCAAAGTTGAATTTGTTGAGACCAGATCATGACTGGGGTCAGAGGTGCCAGCTCCTGAGAGTGAACTGGCTCCCTCCCAAATGGCCCACTTGAAGGACTTATATAATAATGGGTAGAAGCACCACAGCAGGGGCCATTTTTCCAACATAGGAGCTGCAGGTCCTGGATTCTGTACTGTGCAAGGGACTCCAGATCCTTGGGTTCTTCTAGCCTCATAGTGGCACCTCCTGACATTGGCCCTAGTTTTTGTTCCTATTCTCTGGATGCACTTCATCTTCTCACTTGCCCCCAGTTATCTCAGGGTCTGGCCTACAGGAAGTGCTGGCCAATGTCTGATGAGTGAGGGTCACATCCTACTGTATCTCTGCTCCTCGGCCATCTTCACCAAGCCCAGAGCCAACAGCAGGGCATGGCCTATCTTCTGGGCTCAGGACCACATGCCCACTGTCCATTGTGAGGTAGGATAGAAGAAATTTTTTAAATGAGCAAAAAAGAAAAAAGAGGGCTGCTGGGCGTCCAAGCACACGCTTGTAATCCCAGCACTTGGGAGGCTGAGGCAGGAGGATCGCTCTGAGTTCAAGACCAGCCTGGCCTACATAGTGAGTTCCAGGTCAGTCTCAACTACACAGTGAGACCCTGTCTCAAAAAAAAAAAAAAAGAAAAAAGAAAAAAAAGGGAGGATTTTTAAATTTAAAATTTTTAAACTGGGCGTGATGGCATATGCCCCAGACTCAGGAGATTGAAGCAGGAGGATTGCCACAAGTTTAAGACCAGCCTGGACTACGTAGTGAGACCCTCTCTCAAAAATCAATAAAAAATTTTTTTAAAGGAAAAAATAAAATTGTACTTAAGATGGGTGCTCAAGTATATGTATTCCTATTGTGTGTTAGATTACCCATCTGGCAGACTATGTTAAACAAGCCCTCCCCCAAAAAAGAATGCAAGCCATTTATATGTGAAATTTGAAATTGATTTTTTTGTTGTTGTTGTTTTGAGACGGTCTCACTATATAGTTGGGACTGACCAGACACTCACCATGTAGCCCAGGCTGGTCTCGAACTCACAGCGACCCTCCTGCCTCAGCCTCCTGAGTGCTGGGATTACAGGCATACACCAACATGCCCGACTTTGTTTGTTCGGTTTTGGTTTTTTGAGACAGGGTCTCACTATGCAGTTGAGACTGACCTGGAACTCACTATTAGGCTTGTCTTTAGTCTTAGTAGTCTTAGTGGGTGGGAGAAGATGGTTCATCCCTAATGAGATGATAGGAAATCTCAGAAGGGTGGAACCAATAATCACAAGCTTCCTTAAGGAACTATGTAAATCTGGCCATTGTGACTTTAATCTTCAGATGCATCTCCAGCCAGTTTTTGATGTGTTCTTATCTTATTCACTGGAGGGCCCAGCCCTGTCTGACTGCCTATAATATTTCTACCTAATTTAGCTTTCTATAATATTTTGAGACAAGGCCTCACTAAGTTGCTAAGTTCCCAAGGCTGGCCATGAACTCACTTCGATCCTCCTGTCTCCAGTCTCCCAGAGGCTGGCTGGATTTAGAAGTGGGCCAAGTGGCTCCCAGGAAACTGGATGATGGATGCTAGAGTACCTAAGCCACAGTGATCTGGGGACAGGCTCCTTACTGTCAAAGCCTGGACTGGTTAGGGCATAGATTTTATGCCTCAACAATTGACTGAGGATGCCTGAAAACTTGAGCTTCTTTCTTCTTTTACACAGAATGTTAGAATCACATTTAGAGACCTTTTCTTCTTTTGTTGAGACTACTCCTTGTTAGAGTTCAAACTAACCTCAAACTCACAGTGATCCTCCTGCTTCAGCCTCTGATTGGTAAGATTACACGTGTATGTTGCTACATCCACCTTTTTTGTTTTGCTTTTGGCGGGGGTGGGGGGGGGAGACAGGGTCTCACTATATAGTTGAGACTGACCTAGAACTCACTATGCAGCCCAGGCTGGTCTCAAACTCACAAGCGATCCTCCTGCTTCAGCCTCCCGAGTGCTGGGATTACAGACATGTGCCACCACACCCGGCTTTGTTTTGCTTTTTGAGGTAGTGTCTTGCTATGTATTCCAGAATGGCCTTGCACTCCATGTGATCCTCCTGACTCAGCCTTCTGATTCATTTTTCGAGGAGGGGGGAGTAACCAACCTAGCATAGTGCATGCCTGTAATCCCAGCACTGAAGAGGCTGAGGCAGGAGGGTCATTAGGAGTTTGAGGCCAGCTTGCGGGTTTATAGTGAGTCCAAGGCCAGTTTGAACTGCAAGACCCTGTCTGAAAAAACTGAGAAAGGGGGCGCTGGGGATTTAGCTCAGTGGCACCACGCCTTCCTCACAAGCACAAGGTCCCGAGTTTGATCCCCAGTGCAAAAAAAAGAGGAAAAAGGTACTTTTAAAATTAGGATTAGAGTCTGTGAGGGAAAGCCTTTTCTTATGCTGTGCACTGACTGAGAGGCCCCTCCAGTCCAGCTGCCCACTTCCAGAATGGGTCCCTACCTCTCTGACTACAAAGAATGATGCTGCCAACAAAATAACTGCCTCTGCAGGCTCTTCAGGGGCAAAGACAGTTCCGTCTGAGGAAGACTACCAGACTAGATAGACCCTCAGCTCTCAGTACCCTCTGCCCCGCGCCTGGCTGGCTGGAGCCCCACTCCACTGTCCCTGCAACCAAACTGAGATCTTCGCAGGGGCCCAGCCTGTGTCTCCTGACTCCCTTCCCACAGGAGCCCCACCAGGCTCTCGAGCTAACCGCAGGCCAGGAAGGGCCTGGGAGCAGTGGGGCTGAGGAGGTCCCTCAGGGAAACCAGACTCCTCACTCCTTCTGCTCCCCTGGCTCCCCACTGCCGTGGGACCACTAGACCTCACACCCAACCCCTCTGTTCACCCCCAGCAGCCTGTCAGAGCCGGTCTGCCC